TATATACACGTATATATGTATGTGTATGTATGTGTATATGTTGCAAACACACACGCATGTATCGATATATATATATATATATATATGCGTGTGTGTATGTATTTATACATATGTTTGTATATATTTATGTATTCATGCTTTTATACATATATGTATATATGTATATAGGTGAATATATATATATATATATATTTATATATTTATATATGTCTACTTCTACATTCGAATTAATATTATATACGTTTAAACGTACATATTTATCTATCTACTATATATAAGTATATATATACATAATATATATACATATATATATATATATATATATATATATATATATATATATATGTATGTATATATGTATGAACGATATATGTATATATGTATGAATGAATGTACACACACACATATATATATATATACATGTATGTATGTATGTTATATATACATATTTATGTTTATATATATAAATCTATAAATCTCTTTATATTTAATGTATATATATATATCTGTACATATATGTGTATATGTTTAGATTCCATGTTTTTTATACGTATATGTATAGTTATATTTACATGAATATATATATATATATATATATATATGTATTTGTCTACTTATACATTTATATTAATAATATATACCGTTTAAACGTATATATTTATCTATCTTCTATATATAAGTATATATATATATGTGTGTGTGTGCGTGTGTGTGTATGTATGTATAAGTGATATATGTATGAATGAATATATGTATGTATGTATATGTATGTATGTTTGTGTTTATGTTTATATGCATGTATGTGTGCAGGAATGCATGAAGCATGCACACACACATATATATATATATATATATATGTATACATGTATATAATCATATATATATGTATGTATATATATCTATATCTTTATCTATATCTCTTTATATTTATTTTTATTTTTATATATATAAATCTGTAAATCTCTTTATATTGTATGTATATGTGTATGTATATCATATATATATATATATATATATATATATATATATATTATGTCTCGTATCTATATATATATATATATGTGTGTGTGGGTGGATGTATTGTATTTATCCATATACATGGGTATATATTTATATATTTTTAACTATATGTTTCGGAATGTATTTCATGTGGCAAATTTCATAGTATTTTCATTTTCATGCATTATTAAGTATATAGTGTATAAATTTGTGCGTTTTATTTTGAAATATATACTATTCTACCTATTCATAGCTAAATGAGGTAAATTGACCAGCCCTTCTTAACTGTACACTTTTACAGCGGATGTCAGACAAACTAAATAGATACGATGATATATTTTTAAGGATGAAATTAACAATCTTTGCTGATTGTTATAATTGAGTTTTCTACATTCTCCGTTTTGCTTGAAGTTCGACACAATATTAGCGATGGAACTTACAATTCTGTTTTTGTCGAATGCTGAAAGATTTCCAGAATGACTTTATTATTGCAGGTTTGGAACAAGATGGCGGACCCAGTGCTGCACATCGAAGTAAGTCCTTTTTGACGCAGCAGTATGCATCATCTTACATTTTTGACAGTTAGTACGAATGAATGAATGCTTTAAATAGCCTTGAAGATTGTCGACAGACTTCTAGTTTCTATCCTGCATTGCTGTCCAATATCTTCTTGTAGATCACTAAATTCACTCCGTGTTGTTTCAAATCTCATAATAGCTTCGTCGATGGGCTGATATTGCGATCATTGCTCCACTGGATGCGAACACCATGGCTAAGCTTGCAAATGGCATCTGTGATAATCTTGTTGTAAGCATAGTGTAGTTCTTACCGTACCAGATTGATGATTAGAATATTTTACTGTTGTCGCATGCATTTCTCCGTTAATCATCGAATTGCTAACCGCAGAGCAATATGCCAATTTTAAATTCTCATACTGTTTCTTGACTAGTGTAGTCTATATTCTATTCTTCTTTTGGTGGCAATGTGATCGTATCTCTGACGCGTGTATCACCTCTGGAGGGGTGTTCGGCTTACATTTTCCATGATACCATTTGCAGACTTGTACTTTGCGAGCTTGGGATGTCCATAAACCTGTGCTTGTGGCCCCTGCAATGAATACGCATATGTGGACGCATCCAATAACAAGCGTTCATCTCGATGTCCTGAGGTCTCTTCATTATCACATCATACCGCCTGTTGCGAAGAAATTGGCGTGCGACGATGTGGGTATGTGGGTATATATGTCATCATCTTAATTGGTCGCGTAACTCATTGAGATCTCATACGCTTTCTGCTTTCGGCTCATTCATTAGTTTCTTGTTCTTCTATCCATTACTGTTACACTGTTTAAGGTGTGGGAGCAATGGCATCTGTGGAGACCATCGTATCAGAAATATTTGATCGACTACCTGCGAAGAAACCATAAGTTTTGTGACAAATAATTGTCCTGTTTAGTGTTGCGAATGCATCAAATACTGCACTATGGAGATTGTTTTGGGTCGTTTTCGACAGGCAGCCACTGCCAAATATGCTGAACTTAAGCACACGCCCAGTTCATGACGACCCGTAAGCAACGTAACTTCTCAATGGTGATCGTATCTGATCATAATGCAGTATTTCATGCTTGCTATATGTAGGAGTTATAAGTTTGATATTATTGTTTTCGGCTCTCACGATATTCGAGTTTAGTAAACATTGCTACTAAAGGCTATTCTTGCCTACTCGATTGGTTCACTTCGCGCCACACCAGATATGTCTCGTCCAGCGGGAATGTTAGAATTTCGTCTATTAGTTTGGAATCATGTGTCATTTTGATTAAATACATGTTTCTCATGTGCACACATATGAAGCTATATATAATTAGGGAGGGGGGCAGTTCGCCTGCAAACCGAATTAATCGTTGTGTGTAGCCTAATGGTAGGGTACAGTCTGTGTCGCAGATCGAGAAACAGAGAGACTGCGCACATATTTGAAACCAGTGGTGTCAGTTTTTAGAGATTTATCTTGGATGTATGTGTGAAAGATCAGATCTGATACATATATATTTAACATTTTAACTACGGTGTTGGATTGAATTGGGTAGTGGGGCAGTATATGAGTGACAATTTTTGCAAATTGTAACTACGTTCGTGATGGGCAGTGATGCCTTTGCGCCTCATTGTGACACTTAACAGAATAAAATATATATTGCTTTTAGCAGGGCAACTAAAAATATTTGGTCAAATCGATTATAGTTTTTCAGAATAGTATGTTGCAGTAACTGATTTATGCCATCTGAGGACCAATCACATATGGTCAGAACCCACGTAGCATGCATATTGACGCAAAGCGCAGCAGTAGATTTCATATATGTTCGTATATATTAGTGATTTCTACATCGGTACATCGCACTTGCCAACCAATTTATCCCCGAACTTTTGCACCAAGCATAATTGTTGCAGTGAACAAATAACTTGCACGGGAAGCGCGATCACAAGAAACTCCCCACCAGGCATCACAGCGAGCACGACTGATCGATAATGTCGAGTATCTCGCTGCCATGTTCTAGATCTGAATTTAGTCGATCATGCTGCTGCATATGCGGATACTAAGCTTATGGGTCTGTGATTTCCTACTGTTACATCAATGACTGCTGACCTAGCTCAATTCTGTTTCGAAATCTGTAGTTTAATCGGCTTCACTCGCAATCCAGCCTGATTCATATGCCTGTATCGATCTCATACACAGAGACGGTTGCTGAGGTGGCATGCGAGCAACAGAAGAAATACTGATCTTGCCGAAAAAGAGAATGATGTATGTTCGTGCCTTTCTTGGTTAATATTACATATTATACCAAACAGGTATCCATATTTCATTGGCCGTAGTCTTATACGAGAATGTATCGCTGTGAATACATTTACCAATGGCGGTCATGTATAGCTTCTCCACTTTCATATACACGGATCGTGTGGGAAGGGGAATCAATCAGAAGGAAAATGCCAAGGGGGGTGGGGAGAGTGGTGAGAGGGGGAAAGATCTGTCACGGAGGAAGATGTACGGCAATATGTCTTGGAATTGATTTGTAGGAGAAGCGCTCGGCATATCGCACTGTTCAGCCGCGCCTTCCTGCTATTGAATCCAAAGGGCACCTTTTCATCTGGCATCGTCATACTCAACTTGAAAAAGTTAGGGCTCTATGCCGAAACTTGTTCTCAAACATATTCTGCCAATTTTTTATGTGGTTCACTTTGTCAAAATCATTTGGTAGTACTTCAAACTACGAATTGTAAGACTACTATTGTAGAAGCAATGAATTATCTGCTATGGGTGCGCTCGTTAATTGACCCCGATCGATTCGAGTAGTGACAATGATCATTTTTGTAGTAGCGTACTTTAACTTGGCTCATACATATTTTATCTTCGTTTACATTTTATATTGAAAATTAGCTACTGTATGTGAACACCCGCCAAGAATATGTACAGTATTAAATGTGGGCGATGGTGTGACTTTCTGACCTGTGAATGTACTGAGTGAATTCCTCCGAAGCATTTGCCTTCTTGGCTAGTTCAATAAATTTATTACTGTCTGATTTAGGATATTCTGGGGCTTTTGTCCCATCAAGGTTGCGGACAAAAAGCTTGTTGCCCTCTTTGCCTACTATTTTGTATGGTCCGTCATATGGTGCTGTCCTTTCATTCGTTTCACAGCGATAACAGCCAATACAATGTCCCCTTCCGGGGAGTGTACGTACTTCTTTTGTATTTTCTCTTGATATTGCGCAACATTGGTGTCTAGTTGTGGTCTGATTGGTTAATCCATATCTATCAGTCGCGTTCCCCAAGATACTGTTGTGCCAGATGCGTTTACTGATGTATTGTAGTCGGTTAGTTAGGTTTGTCTTCGTCCAAAGTACTTGTTCCATGATTCGGCGTGACTTATGTCTCTGTGATGGACGTAGACTGTGGCCCATTTGGACAAACGGAATTTGTGAATATCAATTACAGTTTGATGCAAAATTTTTTTTTTTGACAAACCAGCAATATGACAAGATTAAATTCTGAGTTATGAGTGGTCGTTTTGAGAGTCCCTACCCCTCACGGGAGGAATTTGCAAAACAATCCCCTAGAACCGGAGAAAAGGGTATCTCTGTCAAAGTTCATGCAGCATCAACATTGTACAGCTACGACGTATAATTCGAGAGGTAGAACCGATGGGCTATGCACTTTCCTCTCTTACACTTTCCACCCACCCACCCTAGCAACTAGGCAACTTCGTTCATCGCCAAGTGTTTATTCATAGTAACTCTTGACGGGTCCTTGTACGCGTTTGCAGAGACCTTCAATATCGGACCGGTTTCTTGAACTAGGTTTATTTAGCTTTGAAGAAAACTCTGCTCGTCTTCTTCAGTTATTTACCTTTCAGAAACAGAAATCTTGTCATAAATTGCTGAGTTAGAACACCCATTTCTTGGGCTTCGTTCAACGAAATGTTCATAATAAGGGTATGAGGTCTCTGTGTTTTGGTTGGTATGGTCTGCACGAGAGGATGCCATTCACATATTCTGTACCTTGATTCGTTTATATAACTTGTGGGGAAGCTATGTTCACACATTATTAGTGTCAGCGTCTTCGCTATATTAGCTGCCGATATGTCCATCATTTGTCTGAGTATGATGTATGATGAATGTATATCTAGCTAAACTGTGCGTGCTACCTTTATTCGAGCTTATTAGGTGACTTATGGTATCGTCTTCAGTTTTATCAATGGGAAATACGGCAGTTATCAATTAGAATGGGTGATAGCACTTCTTGTGAATTTTGTTCTTGAGAAACGGTACACACCCCTCTATGTATTGCGTCACATGTTTTTTCTGGCGTGACCATTTGTGACCATCTAGTTGGAGTTTGTGTATGGTATATTCAATTGTGTAGTGCCTCACTGATTGGTACTGCGCTATGAGATTTGCTATGATCTTGTATGTGACTGTGACTTGGTCTGCTGATTATTCCGTGGTTTATACCGCCGAAATACTTATTACGGGGGGTGCTATGTTTTGAACCCATTTTCAGTCTATGGCAGATATTAGTATGGACATGTTTATTTCAAGGTATATGTATAATTTTACCATTGTGTGTGATCTTATTAGCTTCCTTCAACACATTTCATGTTTTGATGTCGAAGATCTCTTCAAGTAATCGTGATAACAGGTCGACAACTTGGTTGTCTTGGCCAGGCACATGATTTGTGGAGAGGCGGTAGAATGTTTTTGCTATACACTTTGCTAGTATGGGATATAGCGATTGCTGTTGGTTCATCTGGCATAATACTTTGTGTGGCCTGTTCATAGTGGTTTATCGCCTCCTTTGATATACTCTGAAAAGTGTTCTAGGCTGTATATCAGTACAAGGGATAATAGTAATTTCTTTGTATTTGTCCCATATATTTGTTGTGCGAAGTTTAAGCCTTTTGAGAAATAGAGTATATCTGACTGACCCCGTCTATGATTTGAAATAGGCAGCCTCTTATCCTATAATTACTTGCGTCATTCGCGATTTGAAATGGTACGCCGTCCATCGGGTATGGATTATTGATGAACACTCGATTTCTTTGGGTTCTTCCATTGATGAGTGCTATGTTCTGATTCAGTCTCCCATTCACAATATTGCGAAAGTGTTTCGTGATATATGTGACCTGCGGTAGGTGGTCTTCGTGTAGTTTGCTAGTAGGCCGACCGCAGGATAAAAATTCCTTGTGGTTCTTGGCAGTGGCCAGTCAATCATGTTTTTTTTGTTGCTTTTCTGGGTCTGTTTTTAGCCCTTGTGGTGTGACTTTGACGCCTAGTATGTTGGTTGTCTTGACTGCAAATGCACATTAGTCGTGGTTCAGTCTGAAGTCATCTCAATCGACGCTGGTACTATGTTTAGGGCTGTCCTCTTTTAAATAAATAGACACAAATATTAAGATATATATACATATAGAGGTGATTCACTAAACACTGCCCCGTGGGTATACAGATTCCACTAATCACTACCCCTACCTTTACGGCAGTTCGCTTTCATGACGCTCACAGGGTGATTTTAGTAGATATATCTTCAAACCCTACCATATTTTTCAGGGCTAGTGACTAGTGAAAATACATCATTTTGGGGTAGTAAATAGTGGATTATGAGGGGTGGGTTGAATAAGCTTGTGACAGAGTTCATATACAAGTTATTCACATGCGAATTAATCTTCTTCTTTATTCTGTAGCGCTAATGTACATTGTAATTACTTCCGGTAACGGGTATTCACTGATGAGAGCGGTCACTCTGTGATTTGCAAAGTATTTTCGGAATGCTGAAATGTACAAGTCTTGGCAGTGTGATACTTCGCAGAACAGATTTTGTATTTTAGTGGTTTTCCTTTGCGCATGTCTTCACGTCGATTCCTGGTGTCGACCTTTTTTACGTCCTCGATGTTTAGGATTGTTTGGAGCATATACCTGACATAATTTGCTCTCGACATCGAGTTCATTTGGAATTTGCAGAGGGAATACAGGGCTGTGCCTGGAATATATATAAAAACATGGTGGAAATATGGTGGAATTTGTTTAGTAATGAGCTAGTATCGAGCTAATGAGTATCGGCGTTTAAATTTACACACATTGTATCGGGTCTTATATATACATATAGGTAAAACCAGTAAAAGCTAGTGCTTACCATTTCTCATCTTGCAGGTTGTACTTTTCTTTAAATTTATCATACCCCCGGGAGTTGTCCAATGCTAATTTCATCCGATCTCTGCCTCCGACGTAAGCATACGCAAACCGATACACCTAGAGTGTGTGAAATAAACCGTCCATTAATGTCAATTATGCCTACAGTAGTGTAAAATCTGGCTGGTTATTAACATGCTTGACAACGCAAAAAAAAATCTCCAAAAAATCTCTAGACGTGCCATTAGACTTTAAACGTCACCGAATACCGATCACTTACGGGTTCGTCTTTCAAGTCTTGAACAGTTGCCATGACACGGTCCTTTGAAACTGCGGTAATTACATGTAAAACAGAGTTTGTTAATGGAATAACTATCTCATTAAGACATATAAATAAATATATGAGGTACTCCACTATCCACTGCCCTAGCGGGGTAATGAATAGCAACGTACGTTTACTGTGGTCCGACGCTACGTTTTCTAATTACCCTAATTTGGGGGGGTCCCCCTCCCCCCCTCCCCTCATGTAATTCGCTGAAAGTGAAGAAACACAGACACATCCAATCTGATAATCGCTATTTTTTTTTTGCCAGTATTACTTTTATATAAACGGTGTTGCCGTGCGCTTACATACCGATTCAGTCTAAGCCAGATATCCCTAGAACTTTGCACACACACTGTCTACTGCTAACGGAATCAAACTCGTCCGTGAACTATTTTCTAACTACATCCCAAAAATTCGTGGCTTATTGTCGTCGATAAGAACATAGCCGGATTAAGAGTTATACTGCAACCATCAGACAAGATCCCCATCTTCTTACAGGACGCACACGCGAAGTGAGTATTTAACACATTCGGCCTCCAAGACGTCCCATCTAAACCCACTGCCTGGCTCACACGTTCACCCGGATTCTTTGGCAGGCCTGAGTTCAAAGTATAGTAGCGCATTATTCTAAGGGCCCTTGGTTTCGCCGCCAACATGACTCATGTCGATATCGCCTGTAGGCTTAACCACTATGTCCTTTCTCACATCGACTAATAAAGTGTAATCAAATCGTACTGTGCACCGGTACATATAAAAGCCTTCAAGAACCAAGAACCATAGCTGGAAGCACCTGGCCGTCCTAAACATATTCAGTTCCATTTAATGACCGACCAAACTTAGACAACTCAGATTTTAAGCTCGGCGGGACCCTCTAGCTTTCCGTTCAATTTTGAACCCTCAATCCAAGTCTCACTTGTCTCTAGATCCATATATTGGATCAAACTTGGTATACTATGAACATCCTGTTCACCCAGCTTATATCTAGAAAAATAAATCTAATACTGTCTTTAAAAAGTTTTTTACAGGTATCTCTATTCGCGACGCAAATTAAAAGATAGATAGCAGATGATTAATACTTTGCAGACCATGGAAAATTTAGCCAACGAGCCTGTAATACATACCCTAGTATTCAGTGTCTTCCCGCAGCGTTCTCTTTGGTAAAATTCTAGCAAACTAATAAACAACAAATTATGTGTCATGTGTTGCTAAAGTGATGTGAAGTGATAATACCTTGTGTGTCTGTGGCGCGTAAAATTAGACGATGGAGGCTTCAAGAGTACTTCGCGTGTTTCATTCCGTAAGAAATAAGGGAGGTCCAGTGAAGCTACGCTCGATAGAAATTACGTGTCAGCATCTCGCAGCGATAACACCTGGTCAAATTATTCAGATGTACCCTGTTCTTTATTTTCACATTGGCGTTGATATGTATTGCTAAAGAGTGCATCTACCCACAGCAGTTGATCGAACTAGATAACCTACCCTACTCGAGATGACTAACAGATCATGACAACATCTGAATAGTATAGGATGAACTTTTAAATACAATCGAACTAGATTACGACAATGGCAAGCAATAGCGACCATATGTGATTGTCTTTTATTCTCGCGCTACACATTCAGCCTCAAGGTCGACTACAATTATAGATAAGATAGCTCTTACTACCTGGAAAATGTCTTATGACCAACGATCATTTCAGGTCAAATCAAATAATCATCACGGGTAAAGAAGCACAGTAGAAACTTCCCATACACAGGACAAATATCACGCACCATAGCAACTATCGTCTGTTGTGATCTTTGCTATTTTATATTTGGATCCGTTTTTATTTGCTCAAGACTAGTTAAAGCCTGACTGTTGTCACCGCAAGAATCTCTAGTTTTTTTGTATATCATCATTGTCAATAGCAGTGTATATTGTTATATGTAAAATTTAGTGCAAAGCTTCTTCGCGCTACTATAATAATTTGGTGAGCAGAGATCGAGGTCGATACGGAGAATGCAATCATGAATTTGCTATTGGGTAGAACGAGTATAAATCCATTACCGTATCACAAGTGCATACACTATGCGACGCAGATTGACATCTCAGCAAATCTTTAAAAATATCAAACAGAATACTATCGTGTACGCACTCGTCCATTAGTATACGACCTGTTGACTTATATTTCTATGTATTGGTTCGAGGGGCGCATTATGCGATGATTCAAATCGAGAATGTTTAAAATACACAGTCACAGCCATCCCACGACTGAGTTGAACCTACAAGCATGCACCCAGGTGAAGATACAAGCATGTCCTGCCAGATACGGCATGCCAACCATATCATCTAAGACGCTACAGGGCAAGCTCCTGATAACTAGCTTGGGGATAGCAATGAACCCAGCTCTAACCTTGAGACCAGCCATGGCGCAAGATATCTAGGCTATGATTCCTAGTCTAGTTTATTACGATATGCATGAATAGTATCTGCCACGCAACCGTGAAGGATCTCACAAGATCGACCCAGCTTCGAAATTTACAGCGAGATCAGCCAATCGTCACCGGGTCTAGCCCTCACCTTCATCTGTGCCTTTGCAATCGTCGAAAACCATGTTCAATAACATCTGTATCACGACGTTCGCTTCTATACCATGCCACTGAGAAGTACCCGTCCTCAGTGCATGTAGACCGTCCCAGGTATATTTCCATTCACCTTCCAGAACGTGGAAGCCATTGAAAAATTCAATTCGCTCTCCAAGCACTTCCTTCAGTATATGAACGGCAACCTCATTCTGCCATCGAATACGTTGAGAATTAACGTTTATCGTACCAGGATGAGCACGATCTGGAGGAAACAATGCAAGCGAAACGATCGTGTAAGTATGCGGTATTCATCAAGAGCAGCTAGGCAAAAACACTACCGTTTATACGCGACGAATTTATCAACGAGAGCAAACAACTTCAAAATACGGATCGACAAGCACTTGGGAAATCTACCTGGATGTTCGACAGCAATAAACCAAATTATCCTGAGCGGGGGTAGTCCTTCGCGTTCCGCCTGAAATGCTTCCTTGAAGTAGTTCGCAATGTTATACATAAATCTGGAAAGAAAATAGTATTTTAATTTTAACTTGAACATCTTAGACTTCTGTATGGCTTTGAAACAACATAGTTGTTGAAAGTACATTCCTAATTCGGGAGGTTGTTCAAAATGAGCATGGAAACTTACTTGATATATTCGGGAAACCGAAGTTTCCAGGCAGAGTAAGCGACTGCGCTGTTCGTGATAAAAATTTCGGGCCTGGCTTCACTCTCGTTCTGAAAAAATGGATAGCAAACATGAGCTTTTGCAAGGTGTTGTTAATCATTGAATTTTGTATCTAGGCAAAGCGACAATTCAGTGACAATATATTTTGATCAACCTACCGTTAATCTGAGATTGAATCGATCATCCATCAGCTTTGCTTCTTTCGGAAAATTTCGAATAAATTCCTTTTCGATATTATCCATTCCATCGTTGCACATATCGATGAAAGAACTCGGCGCTTCAAACGCAATCCTGGAAATTATACCATCGACGATTTAGGACATAGTTCGGAGGGTCCTTCTGATAAAACGACAACTCGAGTAGCTACGAAATAGTCAAAATAACAAAAGACCCAACAAATAAGTAACTCACGTGAAGGATCCGAGGTTTTTATTGGTCTCGTCGTAGAATACAGGCATTTTCACAGTGCTGAATTTTCCCGCACTATCATGGGGGGGGAACTTGGTTAGAAGCATGGACGCTACCTCGCGTATGGTACTGTCTCCCATCACTGCCAACCATGATATTTTCTTCTCTCTTGCGCATTGTAGGATCTGCATAAGATATTTTACTCGATTAGTAGGCAGAATTATAACATCAGTAAAATTATATCTGAATTACCCCTGCGAATGCTCAGAAGTGCAACTCCATTTGATAAAATCTCACGATACTCGGCTTACATTTTTGTCTGTGTAGATGTGCGGTCGACAGTTATCTGGGACAAACATCACACTTCGTCCGCTACCATCATTATGAAGTGAGAGGTAGTCATCTGTAAGAGCACCTATACCCGTACACTCCTCATCACAGCCTCTGAACGAAGAAATATTTGTAAGTGAGCACAACTATAGAAGACGCATCGATACCAATTTGCCAAGCGAAAATTCGGCATGTCAGTATCACCAGTAAAGTGAACCATTACTGGGAGCGAAGACGTAAACTAAACCAGAAGATATCACAAGCCAAATCCATTCAAAGCCAACACGATGTGAATGAAAATGCTTTTAATAGAGTAATCTTGTTCAAAATCATAATACATACTTTTCTTTCTTAGTTAGCCAGTGCCCTATAAAGTCAGGGCCATCTTCTCGTCCACATTTTCTAGTCGCATACTTCTTGTCACCTTTGATTACAATCTGCCGAATTGAAGACAGTGAATAAGATTCACAGACTACACATTCATTTACCCAGATAGGCAGTTAATTTTCAACAAGATAGTTGAATCAAGCCGACAGATAGCGTACCTCAGCTGTGGGCTCGAGGAGTCCGACGCGAGCCCTAGATCGTTGGCAGACTGAGTATCCAAAACCATCGTAGCGACCCATATTCCAAGGCACTTGGCTGTTGCCGATCTCATTCAGACCATAGTACCATTCGAGCTCGACCTGTTATCCCATCGGCAGAAAAAGGGAAATGAACTAGATCTGATGAATTTAAAGATACGTTAAAATTGACATCCCTATAGGAGAACATCTCGCTCTCAAACATTCTGCCCTGATGATTCTGCCTTGCAGAATCAATTATATTCCGGAAAAACGAAATAAATTTTATCCGAATCAAGAAATAACAATATTCACCATACCTCTAACTTGAAATTTCCCGGAACAGTGTGCTCAACAGATATAACAAATCCATCCAAATCGCTGTCCCACTTGTAACCCATAGATGGAGCACCCTTTCTGGTTGACTTTACTGTCCCGCTTGTCGTCAAGTCATTCAGCCGGGCTTTGAAATAGCTTGAGTGTATGGCCTTCGTGCCGAAATGCATGATTGCCTCTACAGTGTGTGGTATAGCAGAAAATCGTTCCGTACATAGTAAGTGTTTTGCACAATAACCAGTTGTGATAACTTGGACCTCAGAAAATAGACTGACTTTTGATTGCTATGGTGTTGATCGGGATACACTATTACCCTCGAGATGGAAATACACACCTGGATGAGCTTTCACTATGAAGAGATCCCTGCTCCCATCGTAAGCTGTATACTCGAATTCATCGCCTTGTAACGGATCATTACTGCGAAGTTGTTCAGTAAATTTAATAAACTGTAGTAAGTTTTGGGACGGAGAAGGCTTTCGCTCAAAAGTGGATGCCCTTTTTTCTGACATACCAATTCCCCAGAGGATACACAGCATAATCCCATGCCATAGGTACATTGCGAATTAAGTGTCGACGGCAGCCATCATATTTGTCTCCCTTGCAAACTGGTCGTTTCGGTATTTCTGATCGATCTTGTTCCGAGACGTCGAGATGTGCGTCTGTTCATGAGGTTCAAAACACTCCATACGATTATAGTCACAACTGAACAGTCTCGAAAAATTTCATCGAGCAATGAGAATATTGTTGCACATGGCAAGAATCATAACTGCAAGCACTTTCTATGGACGTTTTGCAGTAGTTATCGTGAAGTTTTAAACTCGTTGTCAATACGACTATCACGATAGGCGGATAAGGTTTTACTAAACATACTTTCATACACAATTTTTGCATCCTCTGGATTGGCCAAGCGTATTGACGAGCCCGGGAAAGTGACCTCATAGAAATTGCTACTATCGTCAAGTACAACGTAGGCCTCGTAGGCAGAAAGATTTTTGTTCGACCTCTGCCAGAATCAAGGATGATGAGTTCGACTATCAGGCTTCTGATTTTGAACTTAAGTTGAGCCACGCAAAGTGTTCACAGCCAGATCACTGAACGAAAATATCCGGCGAAGGCCTATTCAATATGATAGCAATGAAAGATAAATAAAAATTGAACCCCAAAAATTACAACTTACAAAGTGGAGCGGTCTCTTTTTGACATCACCACTGACACTATCAGTCTTCTCGTATTTTCCTGGATTTGTTGTACCGGGTACAAGCATCGCATCGGCCTTCAATGTGCCTAAGAAAAGACAATAAACTTTCATTCGTGAACAACTGTCGCGATGTCACAAGTGACAGCGCAAAGCAAGTGCGGGGCCGATAAAAGACAAAAAATCAAAGACTACAGGAAGTCATACGACCAGCGAGCTCCGTATCTATAACAGCAGGAATTGCAATGTGCTGTAAAAACACACAGAAATAAATACCGATGGTTGCAGCTTTAATCGCCTGTCCATCCACGCGCCTAAGTAGTACTTCGGTCACTTCGCATGGTTGGCCAACTTCAATAGGAAAGCAGCATAGAGTTAGCACATGCCAAAGAGCATTGCGACTCGGATATCGATCCGAGCTTCAGTCTGATAAATAAATTCACAGGCCTAGCTCATATGTGCAAGGCACTGAAAGAGTTACGATACAATGGGCTGAGGGAAAAGTATGAATAGCGTAGTCTATGACTCAATTGTAATTACAGGGAAACTCATTTACCATCGCTTCAATACTCATCGCGATTCGTTCGGTACATACCTTTGATTTCAATGTTGTAGTCCGTTTTGTCGGGGTCCACTCTCAGCTGCACGTCACACTTTGCAGAATTTGCTGGTTTGACTAATCCGAAGTTATTGTCTCCTTCGAATACTCCATCAAAGAGATCAAGCAACTTTTGAGCATCATAATCAAGCTCTGGCATCACATAGTCCTAGTACACAAATAATAACAACGAACAGTATGACTACCTCACGGTGGACAGATGTTCATCTCAAAAATACCACACCCTCAACAACAATAAGGATATCAGATGTCTGTTCGAACCTTGCTGGTGATGCTAGCCGTGCTCTCTGTCTTGGATTTATCAATCTCCAAGCTCTCCAACTTTGCTGGCTTCTGCTCAGTGATTTTTGCGGGTTGTGAGGAACGGTTGTCGCTTTTCGGCGCCTCAATTTCCGCTTGTATTCGCGATAATTCAGCGACCCCGTGTTCGTTGGGATCATCTACTAATGTACCGAGTAGTGGCCCTAAAAAGTCAACATGTAATCGATGTCAAATCAGATCTTAGAAAGTAGGAGTATCCCATGCCTTTGGGGCCAGGCGGTGGTAGTTCTTATATATACTTCAAGTGTACAGTCATGTGACTGCTGACGTAAACGCACACAAATAATATATCGCCGCAAAAAAAAATTATTACACATGCAACGATCAAAAGTGGTATTCGCTTGTCCAAGGGCTGCTGTTACTGAAAAAAAAACATGGATCGTGGATAGATGCTACATTAGTTATGAATCACAGTCATCAACGCCTTCTAGTATACGATGGACAATACAAAAACACTGCATATATATATATATATATATATGTAATTTAAAAGCTGTATTGCGACCATCCTAGAACAGTAGTACAGTATAGGCTTATGGTACGGTTAATATATTGGTAGGATTACCAATTTCATATTTATACACATTGAAGAGAGCATTCAAGTAGTATTTGAGTCGTAGGATCTTACTTCTATCGGCGTACCTTCAGAAATATGTCATAGCGATACGCTGTGCACAAAGCTAAAAGTCATACAGAAATCAGGCACTTTGTTGCTGTTCTCAAATAAGTACATATTCCTGTTGCGGGTGTTCAATAAATTATGAAAAGAAGTTTATGATATACAAACTGGAAGATATAATTATATTCTTATTCAAAGTAGTAGTAAATACACGCTCACATCTCTCTACTCACCCTCGTGATCCCACAACCACTTTGCCTGGGGCTAATAACATGTAGCGTGATCCTGTGACAAAAATCGTAATATTATCCGATCGTACAAGGTCGAAGTCTTAGTTTGTCACATAGTAGCGAATTGCTAGCAGATATGTCCTACTTCGTATATTGTTGCAGAGCATATTCATAATCGAGGGTCTCTCTCATTCGATTGGTTTGTTTTCTCTCACAAATAGATATAGTGTACCAGTAGCTATCATTTGCGTTCACTTGACAAGAATTGTTACAAACTCAAGAATATAAGCATTTGTGCAGCATCGAGTTGTACATACATACTCTCGCCAATACATCATATCTCACTATACATATCCGTCTTGTCCATAGTACACAAATGTCGTCATTGGCTATGCACACGTTCAGATTTGCAACAACATTTAAGTGGTTCTCAAAAAAAAAATACGCTATCGAAAAACGAAAAACGGTTAACGGCGTGAGACTCTTTATCGTTGTTGATCGCTCTTATCAATGGTATGCAGAAACCGACATTTATTTACACTGTCAACATTGTAAGACCCTGCTACTTGATATACTGTACTGCCCAAATTATTTATTCCTACGCACGCGTATCAAATGCACCAACGGCACTGAACTCGTTCGCTTTCACTGAAAGTATCTCAATCTCAACACCCGCCTTCTTACAAAATACTGAAAACAGTCAGTAGTAATATATGACACTAAAGCCCGAGGGAATGACTGGCACAAAAATTACGTCTATGCTGAACTGTACCTTTCATCCCTGATGCCTGACCGATGACGTCTTGAAAGCCATAATTGCTACTGGAGGTATCAAACTGGATAACTATGACTACGGCGCACACCAGACCTATGAAAGAGAAAAAGATGAAGCCAAGCCTAAGAGAGAACGGCGTGAATGCTCGAAGGTCTACACGCTCAGAGGCCACGCGGTGGATTGTGGAGTAACCAATAAGATGTTTATTTATCATATAACCAACCAACCCAGATACCTGTGTTTCTTTACCTTGAAACGATCACTTGCAGCTATTCGGACTCCACGAGGAATATTGTTTTCTTGCAACTCAAACAAAGCATCCTTTTTACAGTTGAAGACAAGATGCATTGCAGCATACAGAAACAATAGCGGCACTCATGCAAAAGCCACGACCATACACTTGACCAAAGGATATGTATGCCCAGCGTATAGCCGTCTTTTTCTGGCGCAGTGTTCTTTGAGCGTTTCCACAGTTTGAGCAATTACTTCCAGACGCACAAAATCCCAACAATATCAAAGGAGCTCATACAAGGAGGTGTGTCAAACCCAACACATAGAAGTTAAATATCACTCTACCTGCTGAAAGCAGCCTTCTTCTAGAGCATAGAGCGGCAACCATCGTCAGATTTAATGGTATGAGGTGCGATCCAAAACTATCTTTATGACCTGAATCTTTTGCTGTACCCTATTCACATTTAAATATTTACCAATTACTGCTTTGAGATGTCTTGAGATCTGCATGTAAATAAATATATACAATACACAGAGACTTTTCTTTTTTTGAAGAATACACACGAATTACCACAAGAAGAAGAATCTGCCGGTAACTATGTTTCGTTTCCCGCCAAAACCCATAACTTCCTAAATTGCTATGCGTTCCCAGGGGTTGGGGATGGCAGACAGTCAGTGAGGCAGAGTGCAGACTTGGCAAGTTGGCACTTGGCAGCTAACCTCAAACCGTATTCCGTTAAAACTTTTATAAATTGAATAAATATACGTTTATGCTCAACTTTTATTCAATATACGGTCCTTTGTATGCTCACAGGTGCATCTTGCGCGTCTAAACATTTAAGTGTGGACAGATTTCACCATACGAACCAGTCCTATATAAAGTACTTAGGTAGGCTCTACTGATCACCTTATAACAGTTATAACGTTTAAAAAAATAGATAAATATGCGTTTACGTTCAACTACTATTCCGTACCCCCAAAACGTATTGAGCTTAGCTTGGCAGTCATGCGTTTACAGAGTCTCAACTGACAAGTGTCATGGCACCGCGCTATTTAAAATAAAATAAAAATTTCCCTGCAGGACATAAGAGCTGTGATTGAGGGTGGGTGGATGGCTGTATGCGTTGGATTTTTGGTTGGAAATCTCTCTGTACTACTAGGGCCCGTCAAAGATCGAAAACAAATGGACCAATAAAAATTAGCATTAAGAGAAACCCGATTCCATTGGTTTACTGAAAGAGACCAGACACTATTGGTTAACAGATATAGATAATGACCCACGTTGACACAAATTTTGTGAACTGACACAAAATTTGTGACTGACCCAAAGTCCCATAGTGAACACGAATTTTGTGAACTGAATTTTTTTTTGTGGTAGGAACCCTAAACCCAGCAAGTTTTGACATCCAGCAAATTTTGACTAATATTGTGCGGCATCTTATAGTTCGGTACTTTAATATACAACAAATAATTTTAAACACAGACCGGATTCTAAAAATATTCTTATTTCAAAACGCGAAATTATGAATCTACCGAGCTCGGCTCACTCCGCCCTGCGGGGAGTTATGTTCACAGTTATTATTCTCAATTACTTGTGAAACATGACTCCCCGACGAAGTGAGCTGAGCTCGGTATTTTTTTGTCTGTACATTTATCTATTTATCGTAAATATGCCAATACATAAAAAAACCCTCTGGCCTCTGGATTTGGGGCTCGAGCAGAAATCAGGTTTCCTCATTTAGCGCAGACTCATATCCAGAGGACCACGAAAAAAGGCCATTATTGTACGTATTTATTTAATTTTTTAATGATGACGTTAGCAATATAATGACCATGACCAAGAGACACGACTTCATGACACTATGTAAAATAATTAAATATATACATATTATATTTATTTTGCAGCAGAAACTATGATGAGCTTAGAGAGAGGCTAACGACTGGAGGTGAGTGTACGAGTGTATTAGTGTTTAAGTGTTTGCGTGTGTATTCGTTTGAGTGTGTAAGTGTGTGTTACCGTGCGTATATGTATGTGTATGTGTGTATACAATAGAGTTATATTTAATCTAGTTGTGTATGTGAGTCTACTGTCATGCGTGCGTGTTTACTGGTATGCATTTGTCTTATTATATATGCATCTAAATATATATTTATCTATTGTATACATTTATGTGTATTTTTATTTACATATGTATCTATTCATTCACATAAGAGTGTGTATTCAAATGTATAAATGGATTTTTACCGTTGTTTCATCAATACATGCATTTCTTGATAATGTATGTTTCATGCATTTTATTTGTATCTATAGTATATATTTATCTATCTTTGTGTAAACATGTGTGTATGTGCGTGTGTGTGTAAAGTTATATGTGTATGTGTATATAGTTATGTGTGTGTATTCTGTGTGCGTTTCGTGTGTGTGTGTGTGTATTTGCGCGTGTGTGTGTGTATTTGCGCGTGTGTGCTTGTGGAGTATATTTATGTATTTCTGAAAGGCACAATTGATGTTTCGGTAGGCAGTGGGTATATATTTGTGTGTATGGTGGGGGTATTTTGAGTGAAACCCGATATTTTTTGGTACGTGTGTGTTGTGTGCTTGTTCTGTGTGTCTGTACATATGTACACGTAAGTAGGGCATGGGCTGTGTGTGCGTATGTCTCTCATTCTCTGTGTCTGTGCGTATTTTTGTGTAGGTGGGGCATGGTGTCTCTGTTTGTGTGTCTGTATGTTTTATGTGTAAGTGTGGCATGGAGTCTCTCTCTGCCTGTCTGTGTGTGTACTTTTGTTAACTTTAAAATGTGTAAGATTCGGTCTATCAAGGCGATATTAACGCCTTAGAGTATTTAAACACGTAGGTAAATTCCAAGTATCGTGCAAATTTCAAAGGAAATAAATGAAATGAGGCTTTTAGTAAAGTTAGGTATGCCTCGTGAAAACAGCAATACTCTGAGGGATTGTGAGGCTGAGACATTGCCTATATATAAATCCTCTCAGTACTGTTTCCGCCGAAGGGATTTTATTTAGTGTTTCGATGTCGCTCTATTAGAAACTATGGTATGTTTCATTGGGGCGAATCTGAGACTCGTAAAATCCTATCTTTAGAAGAATATTTTTTTTTACTCTTGATGTCCATAGTTATTGTCTTATCCAATAACTTGCCACTTATCAAGAATTACCGGCTTCGCCTTCATCAAACTGGCACATCTGGTTGGCTGATCGGAGGTTCAACTAGGTAACGTTAATAGGGATAATATTATTTATTTCTAAAATGGCAAGTATGTATGATACAATGTATGAAAATATGGTATGGCTCTCATAGTCGCTGTAGTGGTTCAGGAAAGATTGATGGGAAGAAGTGGTCAGTAAATTCCCGTTTGAAGCTTGGGCCAAGTGAGTCGACAATGGAAGATATGTGCTGAGTCAATTCGGGCCGGTGTTGACAAAACACTGTTAATATCGAATGTTCCATATATTCGCTTGCTGACCTACTAAGTAGAGTACCCACCTCTGTGGTACGGATCGGGTCTGCGCCGTGTAGTGCCGCGGAATGGGTTAGTGTAGAGTACGAAATACCGAGAAGGACCAGGTTATCCGTCATAATCCGGTCGTGAAGCGAGGATGGGGGTAAGCCAATGCCGCACCAGACCACGGACGAATTCGGTATCTGTTGGCTGGCCTGGATCGGAAGTATCATAGTCGGAACCAACAAGCGCGATGATTTGGTTTGAACCGATATTTGGAAGTAATACTTCAACAGCGTGATTAGCCGGGGTATGGGGAGCATCTGTTGATGCGTCAGGGACGGGTGAGGGTACGGTGGTTCTTCAACATGCTGGAGAAAAGATCCAAGGTGTTCATGGAGGGTCCAGATACCGTGGAAGTCGTGGCACTCCTGTAATTGCTGAAGGAGGTCAGGGCCAATGGGCGGCAGTTTCGGGCCTACCAGGATGCGTCGAATCAGTTGTT